CTGGGTATAGGTGAAGATGAATGACAAATACAAGAAGAAAATATGATTTCCTCAAATAATATATTACTTCGAGGTATACTTCTAGGTACTATTATATTCCTTTGTATATATACTTTTCAATATAGTAATTCATCAGGAAAACAAGCTAATTGGTGATAAAGCAAAATTTTATAAAATTCTACTTTTTATACTAGTCATGTAGCATTAACTATATGTGTGTACGTATCTATATGTATAAAATATATTACCCCTTGTGGAATTTTCCACTAAATGATTAGGCATGCATAATGTTTATAACATAGGCAATAAGATCGTTCAAAGTAATTTCAGATATGATAGGAAAAAATGTTTTAGATATAGTTACAGTTACAGACAAAATGTAATTGTACTATAGGAGTAATCTAGAATATTTGTTTTGATGAAGTTTCTCTAAAACATCTCACTATTTTGGAACTGAGAAGAAAAAAAAATAGTTAAATCATTGGAATATCCATAATTTCTTTATTTCCGTTTTCTTTAAATCTTATGCAAGTGGCATAAGATTTTTTTAAAGTGGCAAAAAAGGACTATGTCTGGGGGGATCTGTATATTCTTGGATTCTTAGAGATCTACCTAGTCATGTATTGGTTTATCATCTTAATTATTTGTCTTTATTTCTTTTGTTTTACGTTCAGAACAATATTTGTGTTCTTTCACTATTTTAAACTTCCCTTTGCCCTTGCTGCACGTGAATTGCCCATCTAGTTGTCAGAGGGATATATGTTATACTTTATCATCTCATAAAACTGCTGTTGCAGCCAGAGTTCCGAAGCACTTACTGAATATAATAACACTTTTATTGGGAAATAATACATTACTGTAGGAATCCTTATTGCTTCAATAAGAGGACAGTGCTCATGATTACCAAATTTAAAATGATGCCCTGGAGGCCCTTTGTCCTAGAGCTGCCTTGAAGAGGTCAGGTAGCTCACCACCCTGGTTGCACTGCATGCTGTCTCACATATAGGATGTTTCTCTTAAATCCTCCAAAATTTCCATTTCTGAAGACTTCTCCATCCTTCAGCAATCTCTAGTGTTTCACTGTCTTCATTGTTCACAAGTTTTACCTTAACAGATTTTCTTCATATCTGATGGTACACCTTATATTTTTGAATGATAGATGTATTATTCTGTCTCCCTTAGTCTTTTCTGCTTTATACTTTAAGTTTAAATTTTGAAAATTCTTCTCACGTCTGAGCTATGAAGCTTAGCAACAAGGACTGATGAGGACATCACAAGTCTGTGCTCCCAAAACTTCACTGTCATTTTTTGTTTGCTTAGGACAAAAAAATCTCCTGCTGGTGTTGATTTATTAGTGCTGGTGCTCACAGGTATAAGCAATTTGAAGGTGGCAGACAAACTTGGTAATTCTTCACTAAAGTCTTGCACTCAGATTCCCCAGAGGTAAGTCAGCTGCAATAGACCCTGCTCTTGCTGTCACCACAGGCTCATTGGCCATTGCTCTCTACCAGCAGCTTCAGAGATAGGGAATACTGGTATTGAGAAGAGGTGCACGCAGGCTGCCGCCCTGAGGAAGGACAAGCTCCTTCTCCACTGCTTGTGCCAAAGCAGAGCTTCATATACGGCCAGCTTCTTTCCTTTAACATCCCTGTACGCATCCTTCAATGGCAATCTGAGGATCATTAATATTTCTCGGCTTCCCAATAGTTTTACCAGCCAGGACTTTATTTAGTTGGAATACTGATTTCCTGGCTTTCACTTGTGGGGAAACCAGGCCTCCATCCTTATAGATCAAGTGAAGGCTCTGGATGGATGCAAGAGGCATCTGATGCTCACAGATCAAAGTAGAGGAATATCTGATAATAGACAGGGTTATATCTTCATTCCTGTGGTGTGTGATCTTTGCCAGGCTTCTTTAAATTATTTTTCAAAATTCTCCAATACCTCTTCTGCATCCTGTCTGCAAGTTTCTACATTTGCTAACTTTTAAATTTCTCCTGCTTATCTTTGCAAAGCAGAAATGTTAACGTATTGGTCAAGGTCCCTGCTACAGAACATTTGTTACCTTACCTGTTTGCTTAGCTGGCATCCACCTGCCGATGGAAACAACCCACAGTGCAACCTGCAGTCTGTTCCAGGCACACAAACTGCCAGACCCAGGAGTCCTCTTGAAGGATGGATAATTCTCTACTGGATCCCCTATGATTCTCCTACGACAGGTGTCTTTCTTACCACATTTCACATGTTGTGAAACTCTGTACTTTTCCTTAGGTTTTGCAAAGCAATAAGTATTCCTAGTTAGTACTTCCCGTTATTTACATTTTGCCTTATTTTCCTTTTGAGAAGTTTCATTTATATTCGATAACAAGTCTCCATTTACAATTATTCCCTGTCACAATTAATAAAGTTTTTATCCCTTAAAGATTAACTAGCTTGCTTGACCATAATACTAATTTTTAAAAATATCACTATGTATTAAGCCACTGCTTTATATAAATCAACTTATAGTACAGTAGAACAACATTCATTTAAATCACACTTGTAATCTCATAAAAGTATACATCAGAATCCTGTTTTCCATAAGATTTCATTTTAAAATTCTTTGCTTTGAATTTGGGGGTTTTCATGTTTTTTTTTTTTTATCTTCCTAAATTTCCCTATCAGCATTTTCACAATTTTGTTAGTGTCAGTGTAGCTAAATAGACTAATGCAACTGTAGTCATACTTCAATTATTGTCATGAGATGAATTTTTTTGTTTGTTTGTTTGCTGGAGATTTATCATTTTGCCAAGATTTGTTAAAATAGAAAATTAATAGCCCAGAAGAGTTCTCAGCTGGTTCTTTTAATCCACTTGAGATGAAATACTTTAAAAATATTTAACTTTTTTCATCCCTTATTCTGGCCACTGAAGTGATACAACACACTTCCTTGTTGCTGCAAAATGCAGTTACATTACTTCTTTTTCTGAGAGTATAGTAATCATTTTGTATTGAGGCTATATATCAGTTGATGTTAAATTTGGGTCTCAGCTAAACCTCAGCAAACAGTTCACATGTCTTCCAGATGTGACTATCTCTTAGGGTAGGCAACTTTTACTTTAAAGATCCTCTAATGAAGCTCCCCT